GAGACAGAGAGAAGCAGAAACATAGGCAGGCTCCCAGCAGGGAGCAGATGTGGGACTCAATCCTGGACCCTGGGATCACACCCTGAGCCAAAGGCAGGCGCTCAACCACTGAGCCACCCAGGTGCCCCAGTTGAGCCACCCAGGTGCCCCATAAATAAAATCAACCGCTGAGGCTGCTTCACCCACTTCTTCTCCCTCTGCTCCTTCCTGTCACTCATGCACTCACACACTCTCTCTCAAAAAAATAAAATCTTAAAAAAAAAAGAACTTTTATCCTCATAGCACAATTGAAAGGAAAATACGGAGATTTCCCATATACCTTTTACTCCCACACATGCACAGCTTCCTCCTCAATCAACATCCACTACCAGAATGGTATGTCTGTTACCATTGATGAACCTGTATTGACAAATCATAATCACCCAAAGTCCACTTTTTACATTAAGGTCCACTCTTGGTGTTGTACATTCTATGGGCTTAAACAGATAGTGACACGTATCTACCATTATTACAGTATCATACAGAGTATTTTCACTGCCTTAAAAATCGTCTCGTGCCCTGCCTATTCATCCCCCATTCACCCCCCCCCCAACTCCTGGCAGCCACTGGTCTTTTTATTCTCTCTGTAGTTTTGCCTTTCCCAAAATATCAGATAGTTGCAATCATACAGTATATAGCCCTTTTACATCAGCTTCTTTTACTTACAAATATGCATTTAAGGGGCACCTGGGTGGCACAGCTGGTTGGGCACCTGACTCTTGGTTTCAGCTGGGGTTGTGATCTCAGGGGTGTGGGATCAAGCCCCACGTCAGACTCTGCTAGGAGCAGGGTCAGCTTGGAATTCTTTCCCTCTCTCATGGCCTCTCCCCCAGCACTTGAACTCTCTCTCTCCTAAAATAAATATTAAAAAAATATATATTTTAGGGCAGCCCCGGTGGCTCAATGGTTTAGCACCACCTTCAGCCCAGGGTGTGATCCTGGAGACCCGGGATCAAGTCCCATGTCAGGGTCCCTGCATGGAGTCTGCTTCTCCTTCTGCCTGTGTATCTGCCTTTGTCTGCATGTGTGTGTGTGTGTCTTTCATGAATAAATAAATAAAATCTTTAAAAATAAATAAATAAAATAAAATAGAGTCAGAAGGCCTGAAGAGGGAGTGCTCATGCCCTACCAACTTGAGGTCAATTGCAGACCCCCAAAAGAAGCCTATTTTACTACCCCAGCAAAAGGCAGGAAGATTTTTCTCCTTGCCTAGCAATAGCCCAGCCAATGAGAAGCTGCCACAAATCAACTAATGACAAACCATCACCAACCTGAACTCTCACTTTCCTCCAATGGACCTTTGTTCGAAGTAGTCCCTCTCAGCTTCCTCTCTTTTCTCTATAAAGTAACACTCATTTCTTATGTTCTCCTAATTTGATGATGTTTTGCCATAATTTGCATGACTCAAATTGCAATTCCTCTTTTATTTCTGAAAAAAAAAAAAACATTTTGCTAGTGAAATAATTGACTTTTATTTTCAAGGTCAACAATGCCAAGGAGCTTAAATAGGATTTTGAATACGATACAGGGTTGTTGGTTTTTTTTTTTTTTATGAAAGGTTAATCAGAAGCAATATAAAAAAAATGGATTGACAAACTTAGAGAAAGGGCCTGGAATCAAAAAGAAGGAAGAAGCCACTATAGCAAGGTAAGTGGGAAATCATAAATATCTGAAATAGGGGAAGAATATAGGATTGAAAAAAAAGGGAACACTTAAAAATAACAGTTTCTTACTGATTAGATAAAGGGATTACTGAAGAATAAGGAGAAAACTAAAGCATAAAGATAATTCTAAATTTTGAACCTGATAGAAGGGATATTTTTTTAAAATTTTTTATTTTATTTTATTTTTATTTATTTATGATAAGCACACAGTGAGAGAGAGAGAGAGAGGCAGAGACACAGGCAGAGGGAGAAGCAGGCTCCATGCACCGGGAGCCGGACGTGGGATTCAATCCCGGGTCTCCAGGATCGCGCCCTGGGCCAAAGGCAGGCGCCAAACCACTGCGCCACCCAGGGATCCCTGATAGAAGGGATATTGATGGTGAAACTGAGAAAAGCCCAACTTACTCTATTTTGTTTTTTCTGAGAAGCAGACTCTGATAAAGTCAGTTGTAGGTCCCACATTTGAGATTCAGGATGAAATGTAAAGGCACAGAGTAGGCCTTATTAAGTGATGAGTCAGTTAATTGGATAGTAGGCAGTTGGATTGGTATACGAAAGAGAGGACACAATTGGAAATCCTTGAGATACAACAGCATAAATGTAGTAAAATTCCAAATATACAGCAGGCTCTAATAAATATCTACCAGGGATGCCTTGCTGGCTCAGTGGGAGGGGTATGTGACTCTTGATCTGGAGGTTGTGAGTTCAAGCCCCATGTTGGGTGTACAGATTACTAAAAATAAAACAAACAAACAAAAAGTCTGCCAGAGCTTTGATATTATGAGTTTATCATGAGAGGAAAAAAATGTCCATCAAAGTGAAATGAAAAAGAAAAATTTTTGGAGGGCAACAACATTTTATCTTTTAATTCTTTTAACGTTTTTATCCTAACCATGGAAATGGGAGTCAGGTTAGTTTCTTTCTTTCTTTTGTTTTCCTAAGATTTTATTATTATTTTTAAAAGTAATCTCTATACCCAAGGTGAGGCTCAAACTTACAACTCCAAGATCAAGCAATTGCATGCGCTACCCACTGAGCCAGCGAGGACCCCCCCCCCCAATTGGTTTCCTCAGGAAGTTTTGTGATGGGTGAAACAAACTGTTAATGTAATTAGGTCTATGCTAGAGTCTTAGAAATGGAAAGAGCCAATGTGCAGAGCCCTTAAATCCCAGACGAACTTTGCTTCAGGCTTCACTAGTAATCTTCTTTCCTAATGTTTCTATACAGCAATTTCCATATCAGACTGTGGTATTCAGTCTTTTGCTTTCTAAACAGTTGTGTATAATTTACACATGACAAAGAAATTTGACATTGAAGACATACCAAGAATAGAAATTGAAGAATTTATTAAAATGAGAAGATGTCATAATCATGTGATGAGAGACTATGTGCACAAAGAAATAAAGTCATGTATTTTACTGAGCCATAATAAAATAGATTAAGGGGCGGTAAGAAGAGGAAGTGATTTTTTTTGTTTGTTTACTTGTATTTTTTGGTGGAGAATGTGGGCAGTGACCTGAGAATGTGAATTTTCAAGTGTACCATCAGTTCAAGAGTTAAAAATTCTGGGATGCCTGGGTGACTCAGCGGTTGATCCCAGCAAAGTCCCTCATCGGGCTCCCTGCATGGAACGTGCTTCTCCCTCTGCCTATGTCTCTGCCTCTCTCTCTCTCATTCTGTGTGTCTCATGAAGAAATAAATAAAATCTTTAAAAAAAAAACTGAGCGCAGAAATTCTAAATTTCCTATCACTTAAATCTTCAATTAAGCATAAATATTTTAATTTGAAAATACCATAGTAGAAGTGTGACTCTTGATCTTCCAGTTGTAGGTTCAAGCCCCACCTGGGGTGTAGAAATACTTAAAAAAATTAAAAATAGCATAGTAATGCCAAAAAATTGGCTTAAGAAAAATTTTAAATGTAGTTACAGTACTAAAATATTACTGCTAATAATCTCCTCTCCTCCTATCCCAAAATGATACTTCTCATAGTACATTATCTCATTTACCTCAAAGTGTGGTCTCTGGATTAGCAATCTCAGCATCACTAGGAAACTCTTGGGACATGCAAATGATCCTGCCCCACCTTAAATTTTCATAACCAGAAACAAGATGGATCCCATTGTTGGTGTTTTTTTAAAAAATATATTTTATTTATGTATTGGGGAGAAAGAATGAGTGAGTGAGAGAGAGAGAGCAAGCACAAGTGGCAGCAGAGGGAGAGGGAAGGGGAGAAGCCGACTACTGGATGAGCCAAGATCCCTGATATGGGGCTTGATCCCAGGACCTGAGATCAGAACCAGAGCTGAAGGCAGCTGCTTAACCGGCTAAGCCACCCAGGGCCCCTCCCCCCCAACATTCTTGGTGTTTTACCAAACCTTCCAGAGAACTCTGATGCTCCCTAAAATTTGAGAACCACTGCATAATGCAATTCTTCAAAATTAGTGCTACTGTGAATGAAGAGGACCAAATTCAAATATTTTTACGTCAGAGAAAATGCCTTACTCTCACTAAAGAAAATAAACCTGTTGCCCAGTATAAAAAAATATCCCCATTACTGAACTTTCAGAATATACAAAAATTAGGAAAGAAGGAGCAAAAAAACTTCAACTTTCCACTTAGTGTAGTGGTAAATTCTTTAATCTCCTTTTCTTACAGGCCCTTTCGTTCGCATAAATGCCCACTATTAAAAATAAAAGTGTAATGCCTATTTTTGTGATGGGCTCCTTAAATCCGAGCCTTCCACAAATTCTTCTCTAAGCCAACAGACAGGTCATTATATCCTAATAGTTAGAGCACAGCACAGTTTCTGAAATCGGGCACACATCAATTTGATTCCAATTCAGTAACTAGCGTCGACATGCTTTGTAGCGTCTTTGAGCCTGGCTCTTTGATTTTTATTTATTTATTTATTTATTTATTTATTTATTTATTTATTTATTTATTTATTTATTTATTTATTTATTTATTTATTTATTTATTTTTTGAGCCTGGCTCATTATCTGTAAACCCAAATCCTAGCAGGACTAGCGGAGATAATGTTTGTAAAGCGCTTAACAAATCGCCGGGGGCCGTTGGCACTTTTATAAGTGGAAAAGTCACAGCAAGATTAGCTCAGCGGTGGAGGCAGGGCCGCGGATTCTCAAAGCGAGCCTTCTTGGGGATCCGCAGCTCTCCCAGGTAAATCCCCCGCCCTGAAGGGAAAAGAACCCGTCTGCAGCCGGGGCACGGTCCCTTTAAGAGGATGAGCTTCGCTCGCTCCGCCCTTTTCCCCGCCTCCGTCTAGGCAAAGGCGGAACCGGAAGTAGCGGGGGACGCGCCGGTCCCCAGCATGGCGGCCGCCTGGCCCTCCGGGCCGGCTGCTCCGGAGGCCGTGGCCGCCCAGCTCCTGGGTGTCCTGTGGTTCGTGTCAGTCACCACGGGACCTTGGGGAGCGGCTGCCATCGCCGCAGCCGGTGGCGAGGAGACGCTTAAGTGCGAGGACCTCAAATTGGGACAATATCCTCTGTGAGGAACCCCCCCCCAACCCCCGCCGTGGAGGCGAGGTAGCTTAGGGGCCGCGCGTGGAACGCGGCCCTCAACAGGGGCCAGGGGTGTGCTTAGGGGACTGGTGACTTGTGCCTTCTAGTGACGGGCGGACCCCGGGAGGGGAAAAGGGATGTGGGGGTGGGAAGGACGGAGGCCACCCGGTGTGATTTCCTGGGGATATTACTGGTCCTTGGCGCTTCCTCTTTTGATCCACCTATTTATTTATTTACGATCCAACTTTCTTTCTTTCTTTCTTTCTTTCTTTCTTTCTTTCTTTCTTATTTATTTATTTATTTATTTATTTATTTATTTATTTATTTATTTATTTATTTCCAGTGGGCTTATTTGTTTAACAAACGCCTAGGTCCTGAAGTATGACGATCCAACTTTATTTATTTATTTATTCATTCATTCATTCATTCATTTCCAGTGGGCTTATTTGTTTAACACCTAGATCTTGAAGTATGACGACCCAACTTTATTTATTTATTCATTTATTCATTTATTCATTCATTCATTCATTTCCAGTGGGCTATTTGTTTAACAAACACCTAGATCCTCAAGTATGACGACCCAACTTTTATTTATTTATTCATTCATTCATTCATTCATTCATTTCCAGTGGGCTTATTTGTTTAACAAACACCTAGATCCTCAAGTATGACGACCCAACTTTTATTTATTCATTCATTCATTCATTCATTCATTTCCAGTGGGCTTATTTGTTTAACAAACACCTAGATCCTCAAGTATGACGACCCAACTTTTATTTATTCATTCATTCATTCATTCATTCATTCATTTCCAGTGGGCTTATTTGTTTAACAAACACCTAGATCTTTAAGTATGACGACCCAACTTTATTTATTTATTCATTCATTCATTCATTCCCAGTGGGCTTATTTGTTTAACAAACACCTAGATCCTGAAGTATGACGACCCAACTTCATTCATTCATTCATTCATTCATTTCCAGTGGGCTTATTTGTTTAACAAACACCTAGATCCTGAAGTATGCCAGGCCCTGTTCTAGGCATTAGTAATCAAAAGATCGATATGCTCTACGCCAGAACTTTGCCCACTTGGGGGCGGAGACAAATACGTTGTTAACCCTACAGCCAGGTATAAGGCCCAAGGTATTACTAACTGCGAATTACCTGATAACATTCTCAAACTCCGTGAGATGCCTGACTGTCAAGGGGGCAGATTATCGTGGGCCAGTTATCTGAACTCTTATTTTCTCTTGGGTAAAGATGTAGGTAACAGTAATACCAACTTAAAGGTTTGTTGTGAGAAATGAGTGCAGGTTAAAAAAAAGAGAGAGAGAAAGGAATGAGTGCGGGTGAATCATATAGGGAAATGCAGCTGGCACATAATAGGGACTAGTTGTGTTCTTTATTTACAGATGAGAAAACTGAAGCTGAAGGAGTTGAGCGTTATCTGTGCATTGTAATAGCTCCGATGAAGGGAGGAACAATATGACATGGGAATTACAGTCCAATTCAGATAGCTACTTTTGTACAAAAGTAGATCGTTTTATACAAATTGTAGAGCAGAAAAATTAAGGGAAGCCGGAGATATAAGAAAGATTCTAGGAGACAAAATTTTTATTTATTTTATTTTTAAGATTTTATTTATCCATGAGACACACACAGAGAGAGAGAGAGGCAGAGACACAGGCAGAGGGTGAAGCAGGCTCCACTTGGGGAGCCCGACGTGGGACTCGATCCCCGGTCTCCAGGGTCAGGCTCTGGGCTGAAGGCAGCGCTAAACCGCTGAGCCATCCGGGCTGCCTGGAGACAAAATTTTTAAATTAAAATTCAATGCTATAGTATTTTCATGTGAGCTGGGGGAGAGGCGGCCATTATTAGATGCTTACACAATAGCTCTAATTTGCTGAATTCCATTATACTTGGAGTTTGAGAATCACTGACCTATAAGTTGAGTCTTTTTTTTTTTGGCAAAAACGTCAGAGTGATGCTAAGAAATAATTGGATGGTGTGAAGAGTTGTACGATTTGAACCCTAGAGAGATGTAGCTGCATTTGGTGATGATAACTGGAAAATGTCTGTTACATCTGTCCTGAAGATGAGGTTTCCAGTAGTGCTTAAAAAACCTTAAACAGATGTCATGTTCTTTTTTTTTTTTAATTTTTTTTATTTATTTATGATAGTCACACACACACAGAGAGAGAGAGAGGCAGAGACACAGGCAGAAGGAGAAGCAGGCTCCACGCACCAGGAGCCCGACGTGGGATTCGATCCCGGGCCTCTAGGATCGCGCCCTGGGCCAAAGGCAGGCGCCAAACTGCTGCGCCACCCAGGGATCCCCAGATGTCATGTTCTATTTCCAGAGACATCTTATGAATACCTTATTTATCCCATTTTAGTGTCAATAAAATATTTAGGAAACAAAAGCCACCCACAAGCGTTTTGAACATCTAATAGAGGCAGTTTTTAGACCTGTTTTCAAAAGCTTAAAATCCTGTTGGGGAGACCATGTAGACACCCCTAAAAACTATCTTCCCTGTAGTCTAATGGAAAGTGCTCTAGACTTGGAATCAGGAAACCTAATTTTACTCTGTATCACTTGTTACATGATTTTGAATAGGTCTCTCAAACTTTGAGCCTCAATTTGTGCTTCTGTAATATGAGAATAATAGTATTTACCTTACAGGGTTATTTGTGCTCCATGAAGTTATGTATGTTACCATCCTGTGGGGGCCCATAAATTAGTTCAGTCAAATCTCCGAAAACTGATTATTTTTAACCTGAAGCTTTTTTATAATACTTTGGTAAAGATTTTAATTTCCATTTTTCCTTTCTGCTTTATGCTTAATCCCTGACTGATGATCTTTAAGGAGGGCATCCTTTACTAGTACTTTCAATATGTATTAGGTTAATATACTTAATGTCCCAGTATTATGAACAATGCTAAAAGTGTATTTGTGGTTGGGTTTGTTGCTCTGGACCAACTAACAGCTTTTCTTTACATGTAATGTAACCATGAGTATATAATACAAGATATTAAAGACAAGGTGATGTTTTGTGTTGGAATGCCATTCATATTTCCTTAACTTTTCTCACATATATTTGTAAAGATCCAAAAATAAATGATGCTACACAAGAACCAGTTAACTGTACAAACTACACAGCTCATGGTAAGGCTTCCATAAGCATGTTCTTAAAAATAATTTTTGAAACATTATTTCATAAATCAGTGTATGATCACTAAAAGTAATAAAGGTGTGCTTTTTCTTGAGTTATAATATTATTCAGTTTCCAGAACAACTTACAATTGGAGAACTGGCTAAGGGTTGTTAATATTTAATTTAAGAAGAATGTTGGTTATATGAACCGGAGAGTTTTATATTTTCATTCTTTTTTTAGACTTTTGAAATTGGTTTATGTAGCTTATGCAAAGATGCTTCTTAAGTTAGATTTTTAATTAACTTGAAAAGAGCTTGAAATGAGATTGAATAAGCCCCAATGAGAAGTTATATCACCCATATTATACAGTTATAAAATTACTCGGGTACATCCTAAGTATGAAAACAGTAAAGATTTTATATGTGCATCAGTGTTTTCTTTTTCTTCTCTTCTCGGTCTTATAGAGATGTTTTGATAATAGATACCACCCTCAGCCTAATGATTTGGGGGAGCTTCTGTTATTCTAAAATATGTAGCATGCCAGATAAAAACTAATGAGTTGTTCTGATTGGTCCTTTCTTCTAAAGGGGTATGTGTCAGAAGGGAGGACGACAGATGTATATTGAAACTAGTCTTCTTGTTTGGCATGGTACATAATGATGGCAGTTACATGGTATTATTTTGAGAAAAGAGCACCTATTGAATATATACTGATTGTTTTATGTGTTAGGCAGGGAATAGGGCAGTAATTGATGTTTTCTTTATAAGTAAAATATCCTAAATAGATTCATTATGTAAATGAGGTTAAAGGAATTATTTCTCTTACAGCAAAAAACTTTCATGTTTTTTTTAAACTTCATGTTTTTCAACATATTCAAATAATTGACCTCTTGACTATGAATTTGTATATATTTTAAAGAGCCGATCTTCTTTAATCTTGTAATATCATTACATTTTGGTACACTACTAGCCCAATTATGGTCAACAAAGATATTTGAAAATAGACTGTTTAAACTTATAATTGCCATTTAGCTACTATTCTGAAGTAGTAAAATTTTACCACAGAAACAGTATAGAGGGAATCCCTGGGTGGCTCAGTGGTTTAGTGCCTGCCTTGGGCTCAGGGCAAGAGTCCTGGAGTCCTGGGATCAAGTCCTGCATCAGCTCCCTGCAGGGAGCCCGCTTCTCCTTCTGCCTGTGTCTCTGCCACTCTCTCTGTGTCTCTCATGAATAAATAAATTCTTAAAAAAAAAACGGTAATATGTTTCATATATATATATGATTTGTATAGCAGATATTGCTTAATATGTATACATTTATTTAGTTTAGATGTGTTAAAGGAACTTTTTTTTAGTTAATTTATAAGTATACTCTGATTTGCCTGTTTTACAGTTTAGTTGTTTATATTGTGCTTTTGGAACACAGAATAGAGTTAACATATATAATGAAGACTCAGCTTTCAGATACTCAGTCATTCCCATGAAAGATACTAGAAATGTGTGAATACTGTTGTGACTCAGGTATCTAAATTAGGAAGCAGGCAGCCACCTATCTCAAAAAAGCATTTTCTAGCATGTAGGGTTCTTTCCAGGTGTGAGGATTTTGAAGGAAGTATTATAACTAAAAAGAATAGTTTCTGCCCAAAAGAGCTTTGCCCTTCATTTAGGAGTCTCTTATATAAAATAAGTTTTAATCCACTGTGCAATTATTGGCAAATAAGTTTATAAGCATACAAAATGAAATGATCAGACTTGTAGAAAGTAAACAGACTTGGAAGCATTGTGGTACTATTATGGCCTATCAGGTAGGTACTCATAGTTGATGTAAGTGAAGAGCTACAGGAAAATAAAAGGAAGGCTTTCTTTTTTTCCTTTTTCTTTCTTTTTTTTTTTTTTTTTTTTAGATTTTATTTATTCATGAGAGAGAGAGAGAGAGGCAGGCTCCATGCAGGGAGCCTGATGTGGGACTCAATCCCGGGTCTCCAGGATCATGCCCTGGGCCAAAGGCAGATGCTCAACCACTGAGCTACCCAGGGATCCCCAAATAAACAAAATCTTAACAGAAGAAAATGTTAGAGTTGTGAGAAGTGTGAGTTAAATGATCTTTCTCAGCCTCCAGCCAAGATTGTTATTCTGTTTTTTCACTGTATATACAAAGGACTGTTACAGAATCCTCAAACTAAGTTTAATTTTCTTCAGTACTTTTTGGGTAGGGATGAATAAGAACAATGTGTTACAAAGAAGAGAGGTTTAAGATAGAAGAATTGGAACCAAAGGCAAAGTAATTCAATTGTAACAACAAATTAATGTTATCTTAAAGTGGTTCCCAATTAGAGATACAGGCTTCCAGGTATGGAATGAATTAAGTCACAGGGATGTCAGATACAACGTAGGGAAGTCACTGGTATTGAAACAGCATTGGAACAGATGGTAGCTACACTTGTGAGCACAGCATAATGTATAGACTTGTCCAGTCACTATGTTTTATACCTGAAACTACTGTACATTGTATGTCAACTCTATACTTCAATTAAAAAAAAAAAACAAAACTTATGTACAACCAATCACAAAAAGTGAGACCTTTCCAAATAAGGCAAATCCTTAAGGTATAGCTAATCAAATAACTTCCTTGCTTTGCTTCCACTTCTTCTCTATAGAAGTCTTTTTCTGGGATTCCTGGGTGGCTTAGCAGTTGAGCATCTCCCTTTGGCTCAGGGTGTGATCCCGATCCAGGGATTGAGTCCTGCATCAGGCTTCCTGTGAGGAGCCTGCTTCTCCCTCTGCCTGTGTCTCTGCCTCTCTCTCTGTCTCTCTCATGAATAAAAAAATATAAAGTCTTTTTCCTAGCTCCTGCAAGGGGGACAGAACACTCTAACCACTTTCAGTTTGGCACTGCCCAATTCAAATAGATTTTTGCTCAAATAAACTCTTAGAATTAAAAAAAAAGGTTCTCATTTAGCCCAATGCCAGCTAACAAGCATATTAATTTATTGGGAGATGATTTGTAATAAATAATTTGATAATTAAATTGATTAAAATAAATGGATCAATTACCTTAATGAAAATTTATAGGGTATTTATTATTTATTGAGAAATTATTCATTGCATTTATTGAGAAATAACGTGACAGGCTTCTGCTAGGCGGTATAGTTGATATAGGAAAGAAGACACAGTCTCTGCCCTCAAAGAGTGTTCTGTCTAGATTATATAGACATACATAGGCGAGTGTTTTCAATTTTCCAATCAGTGAAATGCACAAGTATTTAGACTCCCATCTCTAGGAAATTTTGCTCTGGTCCTTTGGTAGGTCTTTTTTATTAAAGTTTTTTTGAAATATATTTATAGGAAAGTACAAATAAGTGTAACCCAAATGATTTTTCTCAAACTGAACACATTTGTGAATGCTTCCAAATCAAGAAACAACATGATTAACATACCAAAAGCCCCTTCATTCTCTCCCAGTCACGGTTCTGCCCTCTCATGTCTCATTTTTCTCTCATATGTCTTATGGCAAATATAAATCATTTCCTATAATAGAAATGATAAAATGTCATTGAAAACTAAAATTGTAAAAATATATTATTTGAACCATTAATAGTATCTAATTGAAAATAGAAAGGTATGATTTCTTAGTATTTAATATTTTTATAAGACATTTTTGCAACTCACCTATAAATGATTTTTTTTTTAAAGTACAGGAAACTGTCATCTCAATAAACTGCACTTTTATTAGGCAAGCTGTATTGGACAATAACCCCAACTGGATTCATAATTATAGCATTTTGCATTGCAACTATCTCTTAAGATCTGGTTTTAGATAGTCTGCAGGAAGACAAGAAAGTGACAGCTTCAAATTGAGCAAGTAAGTGCCAGGTAATACCTTTAGAGGAAGATTATCCAAAAATTAGCAATAGAATTCTGTTTTATGACACAGTTTGCCAATCCAGAACTTAAACTACTTTGAGGATTTAAAAAAATTTAAAGATCCGTTTTGAGGAAAAACTTGTGTTTATAGACTTTTTGCAGGTCATTTCTTTGTAGAGGTGGAATGGTCCTCATCAAGGCAAAAAATTAACTTTTTAAACCAGACATCTCTTTGATTTATATGCCTGATGCCTAAACTCTTGTACATATATCCCTGGAGGTAGATAGAGCTTTCCAAGAGGTAAACAGGTATTACTGTTGAATTAGTCTCCTAGGGTTGTTATAAGAGTGTTATAAGCTGGATGGCCTAAAACAACAGTCATTTACGGTGTTGGTTCTGGAGGGTAGAAATCTGAAAATCAAGGTGTTGGTAGGGCCATGATCTCTCTCAAGCTCTGTATGAGTATTTCCTCCCCTTTTCTGACCTGCTGCTGGTGGCGAACAATCCTTGGCATTCCCTGGCTTATAAACTGCATCAATTTGGTCTCTGCCTGTCTTCACATAGCGTTCTTTCTTTGTCTTTAAGTCATCTTCTCCGTGTGCATGTATGTTTGTAATTTCCCCTATTTGTAAGAACAACAGTCTTACTGGATTAGAGCCCACCCTAATAACCTCATTTTAACTTGGCTAAATCTGCAAAGACCTTATTTCCAAATACTGTCACACTCAGAGGTACTGAGGGTTAGTTCTTACACATATCTTTCGGGTGGGTGGGTGGGGGCATAATTCAGCCAATAACTGACTGGTGTCTTTAAAGGAATTGATTTCCAGATCCTCAGGTATTTACTTTTCTTAAAATTGATGTAAATTTTATGATTTTTATTTTTTTAAGATTATTTATTTATTAGAGCCTTCCTGTACAGTGAGGATGGGGGGTAGAGGGAGGAGGAGTGAGCTGGATTCCTGCTGAGCAGGGAGCCCAATGCAGGGCTTTGATCTCAAGATACTGAGATCATGACCTGAGCTGAAATCAAGAGTCTTAACTGACTGAGCCAACCAGGTGCCCCAAAATTTCTAAATTTTCAAGAGGAGCTCTTTCATATCTATTCTCTGTTGGATGATGATGGCTATTTAATTACTGTGGTGTTTAGATTACATTGTAAAGAGTGCTATAACACTTAAATTTTAATGACAATATTTATAATATGCTGGAAATTATATTTTCTCCAACCATTTAAGTCCATGATGAAAAACTTTAGATATTAACTTAAAAATGTGTAAGGGAATACAGAGTTGTAAGAAAGTTAACTTTAGGGTAAATTTTTTGAAAACCACTGATTTAGAGCAGAGTTTCTCAACCTTGGGACTATTGATGTTTTAGATTAGGTGATTCTTTGTTGTGTAGAGGGTGTTTTTTTTTTTAAGATTTTTATTTATTTATTCATAGACACAGAGAGAGAGAGAGAAAGAGGCAGAGACACAGACAGAGGGAGAAGCAGGCTCCATGCAGGGAGCCCGATGTGGGACTCTATCCCGGGTCTCCAGGATCACACCCCAGGCTGCAGGTGGCGCCAAACCGCTGCGCCACCGGGGCTGCCCTAGAAGGTGTTTTATGCATTGTGGAATGTTTAGGAGCATCCCTGGCCTGTACCCCTTAGGTGCCAGTAGCCTAGAGGTAACAATAAAAAATGTCTCCAGATAATTGCCCAGTGTTCCCTGGGGAGCAAAATTGCCTTTGGTCATTGACATAGAGCCTATGGATTTTCTTTCAGTCAGTAACATAGAACATAAGCATTTCAGACATTTGATAATCACAATTTTGAGTTATCTACTATATAGCTCTAGACATGACCTAAGATGGCAGATTTTCTAAGAGATATCATCTAAGGGTCATGATAATTTATTCACACAAGTCAATACATTTTATCCCAGGATCAAGGCAGGTATCCAAACAGCTACATAAATTGTTAACTTTTGCCCTATCTCCGTAGATCATAAATCCTTGCTTATATCTGGAATCAAGAAATGGCTGTGTGGAAAACCTCTATGTTTTGTAAACATTCTTATTTGAGGGCTTTCTCTGTGTTTCCACTGGGTCATGAACCAAACAAACCAAGTTCCCACAGTTGCTCAGAGGTGAATTGGAATGCTTTCTTTCAATTATATCATGAAAGCTCTGTAAAGCTTTTTGTCTTAACTATCAGGAAACTTTGACCTAAATTTGTGGCTCAATTACAATGTCTTCTCTTACTTGTTTCCTAGTATGGTTGACACTTGAATAATCCAAGGGTTATCAGCATTGATCCCTGTACATTAGAAAATGTGTGTATAACTTTTGATTCCCCCAAAACTTAACTACTGATAGCCTACTGTTGACCAGAAGCTTTCAGTGGCAGTGATGGACACACATTTTGTATGTTATACATATTATATACTTTGTCCTTATATAAAGTAAGCTAGAGGAAAGAATGTTGTTAAGAAAATTATAAGGAAAGTAGATCCCAAGATCAAGATCATCCCATGATTTCAGTTCAGTGTTGTATTCATTGAGAAAAATACACATATAAATAAATAGGCGTATGCAATTCAAACCAGTGTAATCAAGAGTCAACTGTATATTATTTCCTCACTCTTCCTCTTCCCTTCATTTTATTACTTTTTTCCTTGTTTATTTGTGTTTTTTTTGGGGGGGGGGAACAAACAGGCTTTCATAAATTGGCTGAATTTTTTTTCCTTGTTGAAATGGTTCTCAGTTACACTGCGTCTTTTAGTGTAAGCCCCTTGTTTTAGAAATATAAATACATTAAATAAAGTTTATAGGTAACATAGTTTGAACTTTAAATAACCCAACAAAAGTATGTAAAGTTATTTTATGTTTTTTTCCAACATCATTTTCTCATTGTACTACTCTGGCCTAAAAAAGGACAATGATTTGTTGGAAATCATAATTGTAAAGTAGACAGAAAATGAATACCATTTTCCTCTTATGATAAAACTCTAGGGCTCCTATGGGTTTTTTAGACTGTTATACAGGATTCTATTTTCATTAAAAACAAAAAAACACAACCCTGTAATTATTGATCCTGAGCATAGAGATAAGCAGTCTGAAACTAGCCTAAAAGCATTAGTAGTATTTATTTATTTATTTATTTATTTATTTATTTATTTATTTATTTATTTATATTTTAGGATTTTATTTATTAACTCATGAGAGACAGAGAGAGAGAGAGGCAGAGACACAGGCAGAGGGAGAAGCAGGCTTTATGAAGGGAGCCCGATGTGGGACTCGATCCTGGGTCTCCAGGATCAGGCCCTGGGTGGAAGGTGGCGCTAAACCACTGAGCCACCCGGGCTGCCTGCCATTATTAGCTTTTAATCAGAAATGGTGAAGAAGGAAAAGTCGTTAACATTTTTTTTTAAGATTTTATTTATTTATTCATGAGAGACAGAGAGGCAGAGAGGCAGAGACATAGGCAAAGAGAGAAGCAGGCTCCATGCAGGGAGCCCGATGTGGGACCCGATCCCGGGACTCTGGGATCACGTCCTGGGCCAAAGGCAGGCACTAAACTGCTGAGCCACCCAGGCATCCCAATATCAAAAATTCTAAATGCTAAAATGGTATACTAAAGCAATTCCTAGAAGGACTAGAGCAACAAATACATTTAGAATAAGTAATCTAGTGGGGGGGCACCTGGTTGGCTCAGTCAGTAGAGGCATGTAACTCTTGATCTTGGGGTAGTGAGTTTAAGCCCCACATTGGGCGTAGAGATTATTAATAAATAAAATGAACAAACAATTTTAAAAAATAGAATAATCTATTTAGAGTAGTAGGTAAAAAGAATCTTAGTTTATAGTAACTGTCTTCTGCAAGAGTTGATGCAAACTGAAAATACACAATCAGATCGTGTTAAATTTAATGAATTACCCAATGAGTTACTAACAAAAATTTGAGAAGTATTTACCCTAGAGATGAAGTAGAGGGCAGTAATATTGTGCAATTCTTCCCTTGTCACCTTTGTCAGAGGCTGAAGATTGAACTGAATGGGTCATGCATTGAACCCCATGTGACAGTTCTTATATTTTTGTGTTGAGACCACTATATTATCCTTTATCGTGTGTGTGTGTGTGTGTGTGTGTGTGTGTATATATATATATATACATATTTAGATATTCCTATCTAAAGTCTCATGTCAGATATTCTATTGGGAGGTCATGTGCTATAATTTTATATTTTCTTGTGCTTTTTGCTAGTCTTAAACATGATTTCCTGCAGAAAAAACTACAGTGGTTTCTTGCCTTTTTTTTTCTACCTTTAGCTCCTTGTTTTCCAGCACCCAACGTAACTTGTAAGGATTCCAGTGGCAATGAAACACATTTTACTGGAAATGAAGTTGGTTTTCTGAAGCCTATATCTTGCCGAAACGTGTAAGTCCATTACCTAAGCTAAATTTTCAGGTTACTTGCCTCTGTTGTATCTTGACTGCATGGACTAAAGAGATAAGAAGTTAATTTATAGAGAAAATCCTACACTAATATAATTCATCCTTTTTGCCTATCTCAGAAAACCTCTATTTTAAGTGTGCATATTGTTAATATAAAGGTAGTTTACCACCAGGTAAAGCCCAATAGTTCACTATGTGGTATAAATAAAGACTGTGAAAACCTCGTGCCATGTTAACTCAGTTTATGCCACTAAATGAGTTATGAAAAATTCTGTTTTTAAAATCTGGGGAATTTCTAGAGCGCAAATAAGGGATCATGTATTTTTATTGGGGTGCCTGAGGGGCTCATTTGGTTAAGTGTCTGACTCTTGGTTTCAGCTCAGGTCATGATCTCAGGGTGGTGAAGATCAAGCCCTGCACTGGGCTCAGCAAAGAGTCTGTTTGGGATTCCCTTCTCTGCCTCTCAAATAAATAAATCTTTAAAAAAATAAAATTGGGACGCCTGGGTGTCTCAGTGGTTGAGCGTCTGTCTTTGGCTCAGGGTGTGATCCCGGGATGCGGGATCGGGTCCCATGTCAGGCTCCCTGCATGGAGACTGCTTCTCCCTCTGCCTATGTCTCTGCCTCTCTCTCTGTCTCCTATGTCTCTCATGAATGAATAAATAAAATCTTTTTAAAAAATTAAAAAATAAAAGAATGCTAATTATTAATCGTTTGCATATTAAGGGCATTTTGAAATTTGGTTTCATTCTCTGTAATAGGTATGGATGATGAATGGCTAAACAATTCAAAAATTTGGAACATCAAGACAAGTGGCCTTATTTTGTTAGGAGTGTTCTTTGTTTAAAGGACTTTTAAGTTTGCTTTTTATTTTTGCTGTAGTAAAACTAACCTCTTATTCTTATATTTTGCCTTGTACTAAAAACATGGTTTAGTTTTACCATTTTTATTAATTGGTGGCACTATATTTTTATCTCTTAACTGTACATTGTTACATTTTATTTGATGGCACCTATTTGCAGTTGTATCAAGAAATAACCACTATTTGGCTCTTTCCTTCTCTCTTCTCTCTTCTCTTCTCTTCTCTTCTCTTCTCTTCTCTTCTCTTCTCTTCTCGTCTCGTCTCTTGTCTTTTCTTTGTTTCTGTTTGGCTGTTGCTACCAGTTCTATTAGAATTCCTAGAAATTACTAGGGGACTCTTATTTTTCTTTTGACCCTACTTCACAGAGTTAATGAAAGGCTTTAGGTTCCATCTTGCTGTGTAATCCTAAGCCAATCACTTAAGCTTTTTGGGTTCCAAGATTTCTCACTGGTAAAGTAAAAATTGCTAAAAGCAATTATTTCCCAAGTACTTCTGTATGGTTTAGCCAAGTTTTGAATTTATGGATTGATATTTCTACCATAAAAATTACAAATGACAATTTATTAAATGCTGATGTAAGATATAGGTTTTAATACAACAACTTAGAAAATCATCTGTTGAGAACAGCTAACCACTTAGTTTGGACTTACAGGTTTATATTACCTGTGATGGTAACACTGCAATGGTCTGTTACTCAATTTCCAAGTTAATTCTGATCTTTCTCTCCTTTCTTTCTTTCTTTCTTTCTTTCTTTCTTTCTTTCTTTCTTTCTTTCTTTCTTTCTTCTTTCTTTCTTTCTTCTTTTTAATTCTGATTTTTCTTTCAGTGTTTCTGGGTAGATTAGGCTCAGTGCCAGTCATGCTAACAAGACACTGATGTCAGTTATGAGAAGAAATGTAATTATCAGGGAAACCAGATAATCACAAGCATATTGGCCAACTTATTCCCTTCCTATAGTAAAATCTACAATTCCAAAATAGAATTTGCTTAATGAACGCTGAATCAGGACAAGGGGAGCTAAATTGATGGATAATTTTAATGATAAGTCATAAAATTAAGATCACCTCATAAATCATTTTCTTATATCAGAATATTCAGAATATATTCAGAATATTCAGCCTACCAAAGAGCCAGCTGCTAGTCAGCTACTAAATATTCACTGACAAATTCTTATTCATTGAATGTTTCTTTTCCAGTTTACATCTTTTCCTTCTGTTAGCATATTCTTTTTCAAATTGCATGTAATATTGATACTTGATTAAAACTTCTATCTTAATATTATAGATACTGTCATTCTATAATGTATTCTCCAGCAACAGAAGTCTGTAACCATGTCTGATTGATCATCACCAAGCCACACACCTACTTATACTGGCCAACTATTTTAGTTGGAGCAGACTAACTGCTGTAACAGATGTCTTTAGAATTTCAGTGGCTTAACACAATAAAAGTTATTTCCTACTCACATCATAATCCAGTTGGTGTTGGCTTGGAGGCCTGGATGAGGTAAGGAGAGTGATTGTTGCTCCATGCAGTCATGCAGGAGCCTTGCTCCTTTCATCTGTGGCTTTGCTTCCTCTCGTTCTGAATCCTTTCCAGTCAGCCAGCAGATGGGAAAGAGGAAAAGGAACCTTGTGTAGGAGTGTTTTATGGACCAGATCTAGAAATGGCATACATCACTCTGTCCTCATTACATTGGGCAAAACTCAGTTATGGCTACACTTAAATGCAAGATGGGCTAAAACATGTAGCTGTGTGTCCATGAGAAAAAGAGTGGTGCTTCAGTGAACAAATTAATCTCTGCTATGCCACCTGTTTTCAGGTTATTCTTTAGGATGATCTAATATATAGATAATTGTGTTTCTAATTTCATTATCCTTCTCAGCCAAGCTTTTTGAAAGGCTTGTTTTCACAATACTTACCTTTTATGAATTTTTTGCCTAATGTAGTCTAGCTTTTGGCAATGCTGAAATTCATCAGCAATCTTTGTTCCAAATCAAATGGATCTTTATAGTCCATATCTTAATCTTTCTGCAGCATTTAGCATTTCCTTCTCATTGAAATACTTTCTTTGATTTCTAGTATAAAACGCTCTTCCATTTTCTTTGACTCCTCTTCTTTTTTCCTTAAATCTTAAATCTTTCCTTAAATCTTGTTTTTTTCCTTAAATCTCGATATCCCCAAGATTATATACTTGTCCTCTTCCCTTTTTCATTCATTCACCTCTTCGGCTTTTCTCACCATTTTTACGTATATTAAGGTCCCAAACTGAATCTGTCCTCTTCTTCAAATCATCTCCTTCTTTGTCTTAGTGAATGGCCCCTGTCCTACTCAGTTGCATAAGCTAACACTTTGGAGTCATTCTTGACCTCTCCTTTTTCCTCATTCCCCACATTTAGTGTGGTTGCTTCTGCCTTAGCATTAACCAATTTTGTTTACATTTCTCTCCTACTGCTACTGCCCAGTAGGTTATAATTTGAGTTTCTACAAAGCCTACTAATTTATTTCTCTATTTCTAGCCTCATTCCAGTGTAGATGGGACACCACCGCCCTCAGCATAAAATCTGACACCCTTGCAATATTAGATGCATAAACAGTCTCTGGGCCATCTACCATCTCCCCCAACTCTGCCAAAATATCCTAATTGTGAGTGAAATGCAAAAACCATAGGATTGCAAGGCTGACATAATCAGATTTGACTTTAAAGTGATAGCTCTATCTACCTCCCTGTTTCATCCCTTTTGCAGCAAAGCTCCTTCAAAAAGTTGTCTAATATTTCTGTTCTTCAATTTTTTTTTCAATACAGGCTTTCTTAAGCCTTCTCTGTTTGGTCTTTTTCCCGTACCACATCACCAAAATTGCCCTCACTGAGGTCACTAATAAACTCCTCTTGATTAAATTTAGTGGTAAATTCTCAGCCATTACTTATATGGTATTAGTCACATTTGGCACAATTGATGACTCTCTTCTCCTTAATACACTGTACTGTCTTCACTTGACTTCCATTTAACTTCTAGTTTTATTTCTTCTTCACTGTTAGCTCTTTCTCAGTCTCCTTTCTAGTATTTTCCTCTTCTTGATCTCTTAATATTGGATTATCTCAAGGCTCAGTCTGTGAATCTCTCTTTTTTGTTTGTTTGTTCCTTGTAACTTTCTAATTTATATCTCTAGCCCAGACTTTTCTCCCTGACTCTAGATTTGTAAATCCAGTTGTCTTTTGAACAACTCCACTTAGCTATCCGATAAACATCTCAAACTCACATGTCCAACAATGAAGTCTTGAACATCCTGCCAAGGTCTTGTCTACCCTCAGCCTTCACCAACTCAGTTAATGCTAGCTTCATCCCCCTAGTTATATAGGACAAAATCTTTAGCTTTATTCTTAGTCTTTTCTTTTTTCATTCCCCAAATTGAATACATCAGGAAATCCAGTGAGTTATACTTCTATATCTGGAATCTGATCACTTTTCAGTGTTTCCTTTGAAAGAAGAACTTTCTCTGACTCCAAGTCAATCCACTATTAATTTTCATTCTCGATTACTATAAGATCCTTCAGACTCCTTTGTCCCTATGATAGTTTGCATTGTTCAACAGATTCATCCCTCCTAATCACTGTTAACTGGGTAGGGTATTCTTTCCATTCTGTTGATTTGGGGCTTGACCATGTGATTGTATTTGGCCTACGTAATGCTAGCAGATATGAAATAAGCAGGGGTGCTTAAACATGCTCGTGAGGTTTAGCTTTCCTCTTGAATCTTGGTTCTGAAAAGAACTTGCCCCAGGTAAATGCTATACCTTCAGCTTGGGCCCTAGAAAAACTTAAGAAGAACTGATATGAATTAGATAAGTTAACCTGGATGCAAACTGAACCAATCTTTAGCCTGAAGCAGCATCTCCTGCTGAACCCACCCTAGATAAGCTGAACCACAGCCAATTGCAGTCTGCAAATGTGAGAGTAATTGCTTATTGTTATAAGCCACTGAGGTTTAGGGTGGTTTGTTATACAATGTTCTTGTGACAATAGCTCACAAGTACTCCTACAGTCTGTGTTCAACACAGCAGCTGGAGTTACCATTTTCAAATCTAAATCAGATCATATCACACATCTACTTAATCCTGCAGTAATTTCCATGTCCTTCAGAGTAAAACCAAAGTCTTTACAATGGTGTTCATGGCCATCCATGATTTGCCCTCTTTGCCCCTTGTTATCTGTCTGACCTCAGCTCCTACTCTTCTGTTCTCTAATTCCACTCCTGCTCTCATGGCCTCCTTTATAGACATCAAACATGTCAGTTATACTGTGCTCACCACAGCCATTACTTTTGCCTGAGAGGTGTTGGCATGCTAACTAACTCAATTCCCTCAGGTCTTTGCTTATATATCACCTTCTTAATGGTGCCTACTCTTACTCTCCTATTTATATCATATATCACCCTTGTCTCTACCCCGGGCATTCTGAATTCCCTAAATGACCTGCTCCACTTCTTTTTTTCATAGCATATATGACTTTCTAACATAATAAATGATTTGCTTTAAAAATTTTTTTTTCTTTTTGCCTATAGATTGAAAGCTCTTTAGGGGCAGGGATCTTTGTTTCTTTTGCTCATTAACATATCCCAATAGCCTAGAATCGTGCCTGGTGTGCAGTAGCTACCCAAAAGGCATTAATTAAATGAATGAATAGATGAATGAACAAATTAACAAGTGATAATTAACAGTTTTGTTTCCTAAAATGTTTACATGTTGGAAATACATGTATATAACACTCAGGTTCTAATTTTGTACAGAAATGGCTATTCATACAAAGTGGCAGTTGCACTGTCTCTTTTTCTTGGATGGTTGGGAGCAGATCGATTTTACCTTGGATACCCTGCCTTGGGTGAGTATGTTCCACCAAGAAGAAATCCTCGTGAAACTTGTAGGTAAATGTACCTATTCTTATAGATTGAATCTTTGCGTGGTATTAATAGTTATAAGTTCCACATAACCGGAGTTGAATACTTTTCCTCTGTGAATATAGAGCTAGCTGGTTAGCTCTACAGTTCAGCTTGGGTAAGAAATAATTGACTTTTCCTGTATTTTCATCTTTATGAAAACACATACAAAATAGTATAGGCACTTGCTTAGGACAGTAGGCTTGAGCTGTCATTTAGTATTGGGCAATGTGGTAGACATTTAATAAATATTTTATGAATAAATGGATATCTCTTCTATCCCTCTTAAAGTATTAGCCTTTACCTAAATCTCTGTCAGTGTTCCCTTGGGAGAAGAAACTGTTTCTTTCAGGAAAAGTTTGGATTGGAACTATGGCAACTGGCATGAGCTGGTGTGGAGCCTGCCATTTAGGAACCTTAGCATCCCTCCATATGTTCCTTCTAGCTGTAATCTTCCATTTACCATAGTTACTAATGCTTGTGAAAACTATTTACATTTGATGATAGCTTTTGTTTAAAGAATACTTGTATGTGCTTGCCGTTATTTAAGCCTTACAGCTCTCTGACTTTATCATCCTCTTTAAATCTTCTTTACCAGGTAGGGAAATTGTCACCAGAGAGGTTAAGGGATTTACTCACTCTAGAGGCCTTGCTTTATTCTGTGACATATTTGTTGTTACCATCCTTATTTTATGGATAGGGAAATTGTCATGAGATTAAGAGATTTACCCAAGGACACTCAGTTAGTGACCTGAATTTGAACCCAAATTTTCTGGTTCAAGAGATCATGCTTTATTTACTATAGTATGTAGTATTCTGCTTCTATATTAGCCCTTTACTGAGCAAAATTTAAAGTTTCTGAGTGCTCTGCTTTCCAGCGAGCAAGGCTAATCTTATTCTTTCCATGTTGCTACCCACCAGAGATCAAAGAGGAATCTTTACTGTGGTGTTAGTGAGAAGTATATTTCTGACAGCCTTACCTGGAATTCACAATTTTGTTCAGTTAACAGACATTTATTCTACATTTACTACCTGTTAAATAAGTAAGTGTTCTGGAAGTAATGATGAAGATCACAGTTCATATGATTAAAAAGGAAATAAATATGAAATAAATATGTTTGTGGGCCCATTTATGATACAGTTATAGAACTATGACAAAGTGCTATGAGAGCACTGAAGAGGGACTGATTTCGTCAGCCTTAGGGTGTGGGGGAGCACTTCTTAGATGAGGTTTGAACTAGATTTTGAAGAATGAACTGATTACAGAGATTGAGGGCATGTGAGAACAGCATGTGCAAAGGCACTGAGTATCACAGCATGTGTGCACACGAATGGTGGATAGTTTAGCTTTTGGTGTAGGAAGAATAATGGTAGGAGATGAAAAGTGACTGCAGAGGCAGTCTGTGGTCAGATTATAAACGGTTTTGAATGTCTTGTTATAGAATTTAGACTTTACCCTTTATAAACATCAGAAGCCATAAAGTTTTTAAGTGGAGAAGAGTCATGGTGAGACTCCTATTTCAGGAAGATGCTACTGGAGGAATCAAGGGAAATGGCTTAGATGAAAGAAGGACTGGTGGCAGAGAAAGGTGGAAGGAGATTGATGCCGTCCATAGTCTTGACCTGAGTGATGGCACAAGGGCACTTTCCTGCCATATGTTAGAGCAGCCATGCCTTTCCAAACATCAGAAAGCCATTTAGTCTGTACAGAAGGCCTTGGAGTTGCTAAAATAGTGATCCTTTAGTCTAGCTTTCTTTTTAGATGGATGGATGGATGGATGGGATGGATAGATGGATGGGATGGATGGATAGATGGATAGATGAGTAGATGGTTAGAGAAACTACATTCATAATGAGAAAGCAAAATGATATGGTGATGGTAAGAATATATCTGAAACCTTCTGCCTTTATCCTTATATTTTCTTCTGTGTTCTCTTTAAGACAGAATTAATATATTTTGGAAAGATTTCTAACTTGTAGAAGGTTTTTAAAAGGTTAGGATGGAAGAGGAAACACTATTTTTTTAGAACAGTTTATTCCATGATGATTTTGAATAATAAATCTATTTTATATATTGGCTTAATGAGTGACTTTTTGGCTTTGTGATGTGTGTCAGATGAGCTGTCACGTCATAACGTGTAAGTTAACGTTTTTGTCTTACAGCAGCACATAATAATATGTTGGCATGTATATTGTAAATTTATTTCCTTGCACAGTAAAACCCTAGGTAATGAAGCTCTGTTAGTGGCTCTGGTTAGTGAATGTTAGTTTCCTGCCGAGAGCTGCCTCTCTCTGGCCCCTGCTACTCCAATCTATTCTTAGCTTCAGTCAGAGAGAACTTTTCCCTTGGTGGCTAAGATTCCATAAACTTGCAAGTGTAATTTTTAACATTCAACATTATGCTGCAGTGTAAAGGTTTTTGTTGTTATTGTTAATCATTAAACAGTTTACTGTATTATCACAACAACCTTTCTGTTTTCATTAGTTGTTCAAATATTTTGACTGTCGGCCCAAGATATAACTTTCTTGAGATTGTGAAGTCTGTCATTTGTCTGCCTTCCAGCTTCTGAGTTTTTGTTGCGATTGTCTTCTCTTTTATTCTCTTTATCCTCTTGGGTTTGTGGACTTTGAAAATTCCTTACCATCTTTTAGTAGGGTCTCAGAGTGAGAGGAACTAAGTAGGCATGTCAAAGTCATGATCTTTAACAGAAAATCTTATCTCTTGTAAGCATTCAAATATTTTGATTGTATCTTACTTGGATTTAAGCTGTCTTAACGTTAAGGATTTTGATATGTTTTATTAACTAATCTAATCTAACATGTAAAGTTACAGTGTTTTTATATTTTAAAATATTAAATGTTTTAAAATTAAATTTTTACTAAGAATTCAAGGTTAAGAAATTTTGGTATTTTTGATTAAAATGATTACTACCATTGTAGTACTACCCTTACTACAATGTTGACTGGTATGAAAATAGTTACAGATGGAACTTAACATTCTATTTTTCTTATAATCTTATTTAATCTTCATGGTTATGAAAAGCAGTGGTAGCTTGTTAAAGCACTTCCTTAAAATTGTTTATGATCGTTGGAATTTTATTAGAAAAGAATAAATAATATAAATCATACAATATGAAACTTGCTTTTTCTAAGTAATTTAATGCTAATGTGATATTTCATTATATATATATTTTATTTCTGGATTATATAAGGGAAATGTGTTGATGGTGAGACTGAATAAAATTTGATAAGATCTAAAAATTCCTTTGCGAAAGTATTTAAAAATTATTTTTAATTTCAATTTAATTTTATTTTGAACTCATGATCCTGAGATCAAGACCTGAGCTGAAATCGGGAGTTGGGGTGCTTAACCGACTTAGCCACTTAGGGGCCCCCAAAATTTTCTTTTCAAAAATTTCAAATTCCGGGACACCTGGATGGCTCAGCTGTTGAGCCTCTGCCTTTGCTCAGGGCGTGATCCCAGGGTCCCGGCCTGCTTCTTCCTCTGCCTATGTATCTGCCTCTCTCTCTGTGTCTCTCATGAACAAATAAATAAAATCTTTTAAAAAAAATTTTCAAATTCCTTTATAGCTTGTGACTGTAACTTTATTTTTTTTTAAGATTTTATTTATTTATTCATGAGAATACACAGAGAGGGGGGAGAGAGAGAGAGAGAGAGGCAGAGGCAGAGACTGGCAGAGGGAGAAGCAGGCTCCATGCAGGGAGCCTGACGTGGGACTCCATCCTGGGTCTCCAGAATCACACCCTGGGCTATAGGCGGTGCTAAACCGCTGAGCCACCAGGGCTGCCCAACTGTAACTTTATATATAGCCTTATGTCTTTTAATTGATTCCTCAGTATACAAGTGCTATATTAACTGGAAGCTTTCTTTTTTTTTTTTTTTTTTACAATGAAACCTTATTTTTCTAACAATATTCTCTATATTCTTAACTGTAACCTCTGTGGTTTATTTTATTTTTATTTTTTTTTTTCATATTTTATTTTTATTTTTATTTATTTATTCACAGAAAGAGGGAGGCAGAGACATAGGCAGAAGGAGAAGCAGGCTCCATGCAGGAGCCGGATGTGGAACTCAATCCCAGGACTCTGGGATCACATCCTGAGCCAAAGGCAGATGCTCAACTGCTGGGCCACTCAGGCATCCCTGTGTTTTTTTTTTTTTTTTTTTTTTTAATGCAATAACTAGTGTATTTTGTTTTGCCCATCTGTAGCATTAAAAGATTATGAATTCTCAAAGATAATAGCTCTTTTGGAGCAGTTAACAGGAGAGAGGTACTCTTTTCATAGTGGTATTTCTTTTAAAGTGTAAATACTTTATTATGAGAATAACAAGTGTTTTTAAGCCTAAATCTTAAAAATCTTTGGTTATATTATTCCTTTTTTTTTAGTTTGAAGTTACCAGTTTAGACTGGTATATAATATCCACAGATCATGGGACAAATAAAGGGATTTATAGGTTAACTGTTCTAAGATTTGAAAACTCTCCTTTATAGTTCCAGACACAAAAAGAATAGTGATAGCTTATTACCAAATCATTATAGAACACCTGTGGTCTGGCAAATAGCAACTTCAATATGAAATAATCTGCATTCTCTACAACAGTTATGCAGACAGCAGTATTTGCAAGACTCAACCTGTAATAAAAGAAAATAACAGAATTTTTAAAAATACCTCAAATTAATCTCTGTTCTTTTAATTTTATACCCAAATAAATCCTTTGATTGAATTCATGTTTTTAAAATATAAAGTTTAGGTTACTAAAGAATAAATAAAGAACCCTCAAAAACATGAGCTTTATTAATGTCACCTGGCTGCATCTTTTTGAAAGAATGTATCTATAATAGTAATGGTTCAGGATAAAAATGGATCCTTCTTGATTAGAAACACTTTTATTTGGCATTTTAAAACAGTTTTTTTTTTAAACAGTTTTTAAAGTCTAAAACTGATACTCCTTTTCACAATAAGAAGTTTGTAAATAGTGTCTGTACAAAGAGAGACTTTTTAATTGGAAAGTTGGGGGGAAAGTCAATCTACTTTTGGTAGCTCATAAATAACCTCACTTTTTAAAAAACTGGTATTATAAGGATAAGGATGCCAAATTCCGACTGATTCTGATTGAGAGCCGTATTCACCGATTGGCTTGATATTATAAGACCAAAAGAGTCCTCCCTCCCAATTGGAAATACGAGTCATCCACAGCCTCTGCCCTGGTTGCATAAATTTTGCTATGTACTCAAGCAATAAAATCATTGTCTACTAGAAAAAAAAAACTGGTATTCAAAATAATGAAATCTATAACAGGTAATGGTTTGTATTGGTTTTAATAAGTGCTGTTTAGGATGTATGCTACTTTGTGTTCAAGTTGATCATTGTTCATTTGCAAATAAGATAATTTACTATTGATATAGTTTGCTACTTTAGTAGTCATATTGACTAGACATGGGAATGACACAGCATTGACTTCCAGTTGCTTATAGAAGGGAAGAGGGAGGGATGCCTGGGTGGCTCAGCGGTTTAGTGCTTGCCTTGGCCCAGAGCATGGTCCTGGGTTCCTGGGATCGAGACCTGTGTCGGGCTCCCTGCATGGAACCTGCTTCTCCCCTCTGCCTGTGTCTCTGCCTCTCTTTGTCTCTCTCTGTCTCTCATGAATAAATAAATAAAATCTTTAAAAAAAAAAAAGAAGGGAAGACAGATCAATAAAAGTATGTAATAAGTCATACCATGGGGTATGTGTGATGCTAAAAGTTAAGGGCAAGGCTGGGGAGCATCTAGGAATATTATTAAATTCATCTTGAGGACATTAGAGAAGACTCTTTAGACGTTTTAAACAAACCTTAGGAGTTATCTTATTTTCATAAAATATTTTTTATATTTAGAAAGCTAAAACAAGTTTAAGATAGCAGTATTAGCAACTTCCATTAATAAACTCATCCTTTGTGTTACATTTGCAGAAATAGATGGACCATAGTTAATATTACAGGTTCGGAGTGAAACAGGATGTAAATCACTATAATGACTTTAAACTTTCAAAGATTTTTTTTTATAATAGTCAACTTAGTCCCTTAATTTCTTAAGCAGCTTTAAATTGAGGTACAAATGACATACATTAAAATGCACATTTTTTATTTTTTATTTTTAAAAGATTTTATTTATTCATGAGAGACACACAAAGAGAGGCAGAGTCATAGAGAGAGAAGTGGGCTCCTTGCAGGGGGCCCAATGTGTGACTCATTCAAGGACCCCGGGATCACGCCCTGAGCTGAAGACAGACGCTCAACAGCTGAGCCATCCAGGCATCCTTGTTACAGGTTTTTAATCAGCACCAAGAAGGCAATAGATAGGGAAGAAGTGATAAGGTAAGGGGCTTCAGGATAAGTGGTGTGCAGCTTTAGATAGGCAGGTTAGAGACTTCTCTGAAGAAGTAGCCTGAGAAACGAGAAAATCTAGGGAATAATGTTGGAAGGGGTCATGACAAGAACAAAGGCTCTGACATGGTTATGTTTTCTTAGTAGAGTAGCAATTAAAGACAAACTTTTTTTTGAAACATTCTTCTTTTTTTGGAAGAGAGGGGCATTGGGGAAGGAGCAGAGGGAGAGAGAATCAATCTTAATTGGGCTCAATCCCTAATGTGGAGCCAGATGTGGGGCTTGATCTAAGGATCCTGAGATGACCTGAGGTGAAATCAAGAGGCAGAGGCTTAAGCGATTGAGCCACCCAGGTCCCCAAAACCATTCTTAATCTTTTTTTTCTTTGAAGACTTTATTTATTTATTTTTTTAATTTTTATTTATTTATGATAGTCACACAGAGAGAGAGAGGCAGAGACATAGGCAGAGGGAGAAGCAGGCTCCATGCACCGGGAGCCCGATGTGGGATTCAATCCCGGGTCTCCAGGATCGCGCCCTGGGTCAAAGGCAGGCGCCAAACTGCTGCGCCACCCAGGGATCCGAAGATTTTATTTATTTATTCATGAGAGACACATACAGAGAGAGGCAGAGACACAGGCAGAGAGAAAAGCAGGCTCCATGCAGGGAGCCTGATGTGGGATTTGATCCTGGGTCTCCAGGATCACACCCTGGGCAGAAGGCAGGTGCCAAACTGCTGAGTCACCCAGGCGTCCCAATATTAATCCTTTTTTTTTTAAGATTTTATTTATTTATTCATGAGACACACACACACACACACACACACACACACACACACACAAGGGAAGAGACACAGGCAGAGGGAGAAGGGCTCCACACAGGGAGCCCAACGCGGGACTCAATCCCGGGTCTCCAGGATCACGCCCTGGGCTGAAGGCGGCGCCAAACTGCTGAGCCACCTGGGCTGCCCCCAATATTAATCTTTATAAGAAAATTGAAAAAAGGGAGCTTCTGTATATTTCCAAATTTACACTAAAAAGCTATGTGAAGAGGGATATTTTTCAGAAATACAATGAGTGAATGGATAGAATATACCAAGTTGAGTGGATCAAGTTCCCAGAGCAACTATAATAAAATGTGGCTAATGAAAAAAAATAATTAAAGGAATTGTTATATAGGATAATGGCTAGGGGTGCCTGGAGTCCCAGGAAGAGCCCCTAGTTGGGCTCCCTGCTGGCAGGGAGTCTGCTTCTCCCTCTGACCCTGCCTCCTCTTGTGCTCTCTCTCTCCCTTTCAAAAAAATAAAATGTTTTTTTTTTTTTTTTAAGATTTTATTTATTTGGGATCCCTGGGTGGTGCAGCGGTTTGGCGCCTGCCTTTGGCCCAGGGCGCGATCCTGGAGACTCGGGATCGAATCCCACATCGGGCTCCCGGTGCATGGAGCCTGCTTCTCCCTCTGCCTGTGTCTCTGCCTCTCTCTCTGTCTCTCATGAATAAATAAATAAAATCTTTTTTTTTAATTTAATTTAATTTTATTTATTTTTTGATAGTCACAGAGAGAGAGAGAGAGAGGCAGAGACACAGGCAGAGGGAGAAGCAGGCTCCATGCAGGGAGCCACAGCCAACGTGGGATTCCATCCCAGACCTCCAGGATCAGGCCCTGGGCTGAAGGTGGCGCTAAACCGCTGAGCCACCGGGGCTGCCCCAAAATAAACAATATCTTAAAAAAAAAAAAAAAAGATAATGGCTAAATAGAGAACTTTAAGAAACAGAAGGGCTAAGACAATTTATTCATTTTACAAACATTGAGCATCTATCATGTGTTAGATAATGTAGGTACTAAGGGCACAGGAGTAAATAAAATAGGTAAAAGACCCTCCCCTAATGGGACTTCTGGGAGACAGATAGTGAATAAATATACAATATTAGTAACATAACAAGTGTTTTGAAGAAAACTGAATGCAGAATTTTATATAATTTCTCTATTTTAGCACTTTTAAAATTGTTTTTTTTTTTTAATTTTTATTTATTTATGATAGTCACACACACAGAGAGAGAGAGGCAGAGACATAGGCAGAGGGAGAAGCAGGCTCCATGCACTGGGAGCCCGACATGGGATTCGATCCCGGGTCTCCAGGATCGCGCCCTGGGCCAAAGACAGGCGCTAAACCGCTGCGCCACCCAGGGATCCCTCTATTTTAGCACTTTTAAAGTGATTTCTAACATGTGATATCTTAGTACTTACAACATTATTCTTCTCTGTGTCTAATACTAAAAAGGGAAAAAATAATCATCTAATGTACCTACATATTTCAGTCTTATTTGTGTGTTTCCAGATTATGTGCAGAAGGTGATCTCATCGACTCTTGTGATTTTAGCTGGCATCTATTTGTAGTTGATACTTAGAACTACCCTTTCACGAAGAGTCTTGTTTCCTACCATTTTTATATCTAGAATCCGATGTCTGGAAAGCAATTTAAGTTTAAATATAGAAGAGAGATTACTCATCCCACCCCCACCCCCAACCTGCCTCTTTATTCCATCATCATGGTTTTGTGTTATATCGTTGTGTATGTCCTAGTTTCTATGCTCTGTTATGATCTGTTTAAATACCTTAGTTCCAAGGTTGCGACTGAAGGCCAAGATGTATATACTGTATAGAATTGATGATTTTGACTATAGAGTTAATAAACCTGAGATGCTTAGGAAAAAAGCATAGGATAAATTTAAGATAATTGAGTATAGGACAAAGATAATTGGGTTGCTAATAAAATTTTGCAATTTAACTGTAAGGTCAGTTTATCCTGGTTATTTTTTCTGTGCCTTTGACAATTTTTACTTGTTCAAACTTTCTATTGTGGTATGTATTAAAATTTCAATCACATAATGTATTAAGTCTAAATAAATAAGGACTAAGATGTTCTGTAGCTCTATTGTACTGAGATTTAAAGATCTATTTCTTTAGGACTTTAAAGAAATTTTGTGAGGCTATACTGAATTTTCATTTCAGTTCATTATATTTAAGTGAATTATAATTTTTTGTGACTTTTCCATATAGAGGGTCATTTAAACTTTTCTCATATTTTCAGGTAAAGATTTGAGTTTTTAAAATGCTAATTTTATATTCTTGATATAAAAGAGTTTGCAGTACAGTATACCTAATGGTTATTCGGAAATAGAAAAATTAATATTTGTAAGACTTTCCAAGTTTTAAGTGACTTTATCTTCTTTTCTAGGTTTGTTAAAGTTTTGCACTGTAGGTTTTTGTGGAATTGGGAGCTTAATTGATTTCATTCTTATTTCAATGCAGGTAAGTTAGTTTCAGTCTAAAAGATGAACTACTTTTACATTCAAACTTGAGTTCTGTGATCTTTTCCTGGTGTATTTTAAATAAATATATTAGAAAGCCCACTTTATCTCTTAACTCAGGCAAAAGATCCTGCTGGCATAGGAAATGAAACTACCCCCTCAAGCAATAGGGACTGCTCTGGCCAGCAAGACCCCATGTGATTAACCCCAAAACAATGATCAACCTGATCTTTACTTGCCCCTGCTGCATTTACCCACCTACCTTTATCCCATATTTTCCTGATAAAAACCTAGAAGTATTTTCAGCACTTTGGAGACAGATGCTAGTCTGCTTTCTTCCGGGTGTTGGCCTCATTGAGATAAATTCCTTTCTTGTTTAAAAAATAAATAAAAGTAAAAAAATAAAAATATTAGATTCAGGTTTTCTGAATATAAATCTAATTCAGTTTTCTGAATAGTAATAATTCAGTTTTTCTTTACATGCTACATCTAAGGGATCATAGCCATTTTTCCAAGTATCATTTCCCAACCTGTGTTTTAACCAGTTAGTAGTTCTAAAAGACTACTGTCTTTTCATAAAAAAAGGATTTTGTGCGCAAATATGATTTGTAAATGTGAATTCAACTGAGATTTCTTTACTGGATAACTTCTGGGAATCTTTGTAATTTGTATTATGAATTTCTGATAGGGATTAAGATTATTTCTCAGATTTATTACTTCTTTTCCTGATAGTCATAGCCACATTGTCAATTACAATAATAGGATATTGGTGGGGATCTGATATTTACACATGAACATATGGAGGCAGAAACAATATATATATATATATATTTTTTTTTTAATCGACAGGCACCCTATATTAGTATTCTCTTGGTTATAAATTATAGAAATTGAAATCCTGCTAGCTGAAGCCAGAAAGGAAGAAGGAATGTCTGAGCATTCTGTAGAAAATCTAGGAGTGGGGCTGGCCTTGGGCAAGACAGTCAATATAATCAAATGATGTGTTCAGGAACTCTCCTGATAACCCTCTCTGCTTCTGTGTTAAACCTCATTTTTTCCTGCTGCAGCGGTGTGGAGGCAGGCAAAGTTTGTGAAATGCTATCCTTTAGCATTTAAAAGTGCCACCAGATGTTTTACATTAAATTACACTGAACCGATTGTGGTTAACTCATGAGGATTCTTAAATTAGAGGAGGAGATGAATTTATCACAACAAATGTCACAAAACAGCAATTCAGTAAGCATTTATGGAGCACCTAAAGTCTTCAGCAAGAGTGTCAGTATATATGTAGATCATCATCAGTTTTGGTCTTCTTTCTCATACAATATTTCCACTCCTCAATTCTGTCTGCTTGATGTTAATCCTTATGTTTCAAAAGAAAGTCAAAATCCAGGAGATTTTGGTAGCATACTGTGAGGAGGGTACCATACTGTGAGGAGGAGGCAGCATATGGACCAATAAGATACCAGAATTAAACAAGGAAAATATTTGGTTTTAAAGTTGGAATTTTCCTGTCTTTATTCATAAACATATGCCTAACCAAATATCCTGCCTTCTTTGACTGTGGGACAGGCAAGCAGGCATGAAGAGGCTAAGGTATTTGTGCACATATGCTTGGAAATGGATTTCTGACTTTAAAATGAGGATCCAAGGAATTTAATGTATTATTGGGATTCTTTAAGATATCCAGAATTCAGTGCCTTCAAAACCCATTTAGTTAATATTTTCACACTAGGTTCTTTTTTTGGTGATGTCATGGCTTTATAGCTTTATTTATATCAAATTATAGAGCTTATTTGATTCAACAACTGCTTTCTGGTATATGAATGCCTGAACTTTTGAGAACAAATGGTTCTTTTCATAAAGCTTTTGAACTGAACCTATTGCATTAATAAATATTGAGGCAGAGTTAATGTGTTTGAATTTTTGCAGTAAATTTCCCTAAGTAAGACATTTTAACAGATATGGTCACTTGGCTTTAGGCTGCTTTCAGACTGGGGGAAAAAAGTTTTCAAATATAGCCAAATAAGAGGTGTAACCTTAGTCTGCATGTGATGTTGACTATATTTTCGTTTTTAAGAATTATTTTTTCAGCAAATAAAATGTTTTTAATATAAATATCATAAACTATGTTAATGTTTTTATCCCAAATACATTTTTTCCAGTTTCTCATAGACCTTTTACATTTGTCCATCATCTTTTTGTTTATTCTTCTTTCTCATTCTCTCCATCCTGTTTTTTTTTTTCTTTTTGCCATTAAATATTGTTCCCCACTGAATAGCAATGTTTTTCTATTGGGCTATGATCCCAGAAACATATTGTGCATGAACTCAAGACCTATAAAAACATACTTTGTTACAGTGTTTATAACAAAAATCTAAGAAAATCCTCTTTAAAAAAATAGGTCTAGTTATTTCATCTTTGAATCAAAATGATATAAAGTATAATGCACATATTGCTAAAGTAACTTTTACATGTCACTATATTTACTGAAAATAATGAGTATTTGTTAATAAACTTTTGAAGTTTCTCCTTTATTTTTGTTCTTAAAAAGTATGGAAATGGCAGTGTGAATTAATAGTAAAAAATAATACATAGAATTAATATAGATATAAATTAATGATATGTGTGTAATATATAGTCTTTCAATTATAGGTAACTAGTATATAATTACTATATGTATAGTTATTTATAAGGCAGTTCTGAGTTCTTTTAAAAGAGCACTCATTCTTTGTGCTTATATATTTATATATATATATGTTATGATGGACTGATTAAATATTTAATTTCTTTATCAGAAAAAAATCTGAGTATTTTGATTTCATTTAAACTTCCTTTCTCACTCACACAATCTGGACATTTTTAACTATACCAAAACCACTTATCTGCCAAACAAAAGTTTCCTCTATTGAGTGGAGACAAGATAGCCACAAATCAGAAAGATGAAAACAGGTAGAGAGAAAATGGAAATATGAGTTGGAATGTAGAAAGTTGTTGGAAGGAAGTATGTCAGAGTACTTTGTGACAATTTTTAAAAATTCTACGCATCACAGAAGAAATTGCTTTCATTTTTATTCCTAATAACATTACAGAGTAGATCTCCTTAAGGGACTAGAAGAAATACGAACAGTAGAAATTCACAAAAGCAGAATAATTTCAAGACATTGACAAATTTATAAAATTTATAAAATATCTCATTAGTTTGGTATTTAATATAGATAATTCATTTTAGCCCAGGATTATACAGTAGCTTTGTGGGTTTTTTTTTTTAACTTTTGGACACCATTGACTTTATACACATAAATTTGTTTAGAAACAAATGTTTTTTTTTACTATAGCACTAGTAGTATGCTAAACATAGTATACGCCATCAAAAATTTTGGCTGATTTGAACTGAATGCAATATACCTTGTGAAAAGTATGGCTTTGTACCAATTACAGGGAAGATGAGTAGCTAAATAAAGGTAGTTTTTAAAGTGCTTGCTTTCCTTTAGGACCTTGAAGTTCTAAATTTCCTAGAGTCACTGAGAGGTAATGAAGAAAATAAAAGTTGATGATAAACTATAAATAGTAAGTTTTATGCCATGGTGAAAATGGGTTTAGTGAGTACCAATCAGGTATAACAAATTGAGGTCCTGCCTTCTGCTGTAGAGGACAGGACTTCACATCCCAACTCATCCCAAAAATGTTCTGATAAGATTCCATTTATTATCAGAAGTAAAATGTTTCCTTGGGAACTATAGGCTTAAAATGAAAGTGAGTTATCTTGATTTTTATCTTGTTTAAATTCTTTGAATTTTACTAAAAATTTTAAAAGCCTAGGCTTTTTATTATTTATTTTATTTTTTTAAGATTTTATTTATTTATTCATGAGAGACACAGAGAGAGAGAAACAGAGACACAGGCAGAGGGAGAAGCAGGCTCCACGCAGGGAGCCCAAGGCAGGACTTGATCCCAGGACTCCAGAATCACACGGGGGGCCAAAGGCAGACACTAAGCCACTGAGCCACCCAGGGATCCCCAAGCCTAGGCTTTTTAGACTAGAGCATAAGCAAGCCTCAAGTTGTAAGTTCACTTCTGTGTAAGCCTGTTTTGTCCAACACCTAGCCTATTCCCTTGCCATGTGACATATGTATACTATTGCTCAAAAAAAGGACTAAACCTGTAATCACCCTAAATCTGTTACCAGTACTAGAAAAGTTGATCGAAGTCCTTGATAGTTTACTAGATGTAGGACAGCAATATATAAAAAACAGACATTTTATAGATATCAAGTCTTTCAAATAGCCCTCTGTATTATTTATTTAACCCTGGTGCAATTTGTTGGGGAAATAAACTGGAAAACTGAGGAGACTGATATTGTGTAGCCTCTGCTCTGTCATGTGACCTTAACTAGATAGATTTCACTTTGTTCACTTAACCTGTGGGCAAATTTTTATTTAATTTAGTAAATTAAAGGAATGTTCAAAAAACAATATTTTTAAAAAGATTTATCTATTATGTTTTTGGTTTTTAAAAAAGATTTTTTTTATTTATTTATTTGAGAGAGAGCGAGAAAAAGCATTAGCGGGGTGGAGGGGTACAGGGAGAGGGAGAAGCAGGCTTCTTGTTGAGCAGAGTCCAACTCAGGGCTTGATCTCAGGACCCTGGGATCATGACCTGAGCTAAAGGCAGGTGCTTATCTGACTGAGCCACCCAGACACCCCACAAAGAGTATCTTAAACTAGTTTTGAGACTAATCCCAAAAATGTGTTTTCTTCAGGAGATAAAATGTATGAATCTTATTTTCTTGAGGAATGATGTTTATATTGGTTATTTATTTTTAAGATTTTATTTATTCATGAGAGACACAGAAAGAGGCAGAGACATAGGCAGAGGGAGAAGCAGGCTCGATGCAGGAAGCCCGATGTGGGACTCCATCCCTGGACTCTGGGATCATGTCCCGAGCCAAAAGCAGACGTTCAACCACTGAGCCCTATATTGATTATTTAGGATTAATAC